AAAAGAATATTTAATGAGTATCTTAAAGAATGACATGTATCTGATATTGTTACGCATTCCTCTTGGTGCATGCCCAAAAGTGAGAGATATTGGTTTGAAAAAAATTGAAGAAAATCTTACCAAAAAACTAAGACCATTATTAATAATACCTACTAATAATCTCGATTGAGTGTTGCAATTGCTTGAATGTAGCACACATCGATTCATTATGTGACATTAAAGATAAGGAAATTGTTGACACTCCTATAGGTGTGATTATGGGTGATCCATACAAGCCATAAAGATTTTTCAATTCATCAAGCATATTACAAAAAATATTTTTTGGACATATGGAACATATTATGAATTCTATGTGGATGACCTTCAAGGAGCTCAACAATCTATTTGCCACCTACAAAGAAGAATTTCATGCATGGATTCTTACACAAGTAAGACCGACAAAATTCATTGACCAGACAAATTGTAGTTATCAAAATTATTGTTCATTGGTGGATCCATCAAAATACTTCATACCTGTCGTGACACAAAGATAAGCAGAATGAAAATGCATAAGATTACATAGTCCACTAAACTATGGATAATTGAACCTATCAGATTGGGATATCTTATTGAAAATATTATTATACTTTGGACAAATTTCATCTATAGGTATATGTTAAGAAATTATGTAGGAGCACATAAAGTTACTTTAAGTTACATTAAAATTTTGCGACCTAATACAAAACTAACCACAACTCTCAACAGTTACCTATAAAATATTAGTGCACTAAGCACACAAATTTATGAAATTCATGTAAACGTTCTTCTAAATACAACCATAACAACACCATAAATTATTACAACAAGTTCATCTAGATTGATTGTTAAGGAAATACAAAGGTAATGGATCCCTGCTCCAAACCATTGTTATAAAAACCTCCCACTTAGTTGGGTATTTAAAAATTTTGTAAAAAATAAATATAATTGTGTGAGCACTAGACGTCATACCGGTATAAGTTGTAGTTAACTGTGAAATTTTATCACTTAAAAATGTGGCATTAGCCTTTTTTCTTCTTTTTAGGTTGTTGGCATTGTGGTGCACGACATTTGGATTGACTAGATTCAAAATATTCTACCTTGCGGGTCGATTCCTCATGGACTTCATTTGAAAGACAATATTTCAGCTCATCCAAATTTTGAGAAGTATCATGTGTTGTAGCTCAGTCATTAGAGCTCGTAACTATAATACCGACAAACATAAAATCAAGCTTGTCCTCCAACTCAAGATGTATGCCAAAATACCTAAATTTATTATACATTTGAAAACATTGTTAGAATGATTTGAGAATGTAAAAAAATAAATTACAACAACAATTTCTATTTACCAAAAGCTTCTCTCCCCACCATTATTTGGATGCATCTATTATTTTCTTACTGGGATCCCGACATAATCCAATTGCTCATCACTTTAATTCCTTCCAAAGTTTCCATTTTTTTTTAATTGATCACATTTTTTCTTCAATTGAGCTTTATTATATACTTTTCCTCTTTTTTTAATGAATTCTTTTTGTATATTTTGTCAGCCTTCTTTATTAAAATGTATTGCTTGTATGTTGACTAATTTGATCTTCTTTAAGCATAAATCACAAAAAATAATCTTAAACTCCCTCTCTCATGTGGTCGATATACCACCATCATTTTGCTTTCCTATCTTGTGAGTTACAATAAATTAAAGTAATAAATTGTAATAAAGGTTGGCAAGATAAACTAAACTTTCCAAATTTACAGGCATGATGGTAAAAAAGAAAGATAAAATATTGGAAAAAATTTTCAAATTAAGATAAAGTAAGAATTAATTAAAAAAGTGTAGAAAAAATTAAAAGGTTCAAGCAAGCAAAGTAGAGCTCAGTTAGATCAATTTATCAAATATTGCCCCGTTCAGGATCACCACTTGCATTCGGGTGTTAGTCAATATATTAGGACTATTAGGTGGTATTTGAACCAGAATATGTCATATATGTTTAGAAAAATTGAGTATAAGTAAGATTTTATATAAGACGTGGGAATTGGGTGAGGAGTTTTAGATGTTACAGAATGAGACATAAGCCCAACAGTATAAAAAATATATATATGAAATATAAATATTAAGAGAAAAAAATAAATTAGTTGTACTTTATAAGAAAATTATTATGAAATAGTAAAAAAATTATACTCGTTCAGTTTCAAAACAAATCTTTTGGAATTAAAATGCTCATAATATTAGCAAAAATTCAACAAAAAATAGAAACATATAAAATAAGTAAGCATGTTTGAGCTAAAAAAAAATTTGTGCACATTCTTCAAATTGATCCTCAAAATCTTCTTCCTCTTCGCCATTAGTTGTGTCCAAATCACAACTATGCCCTTCATCTTATTTGCAATAATTATCTACATCATTAAAGTCATCATTATATTCAATCTAAGGTGCATAAACAAGTTATTTCTTCTTATCATTACTGTCTAAATTAAAAAAACAAACAAAATGACATTCGTAAATATTTAGGATCATTTTTCTATAAGAATGCATAATTATATAAAGGACAATTAAATATAAATATGAAACATATTTTTTCATTCAACTTCATTTTTCTATGGGGAGATGCTATAAAAATATATTTTCTTCTTTGTGTAATATTTTGTGATTTTTCGTTCGCATTATTTATTGGCACATTTCTGATTACATCAACATCAAATACTTGTTCTTCATTCACCCAAGAAGGTTCTTATGAAGACAATGGATCTTCTTTCTCAACAATCCACTAATCATTAGATTCTGTCATTTATGAATATTAGATCGAAGTCTTATTTTATTTGTATACTTCTCTCTCTCAATCTAATATGAAATCTTACATATACTACAACATTCAAACTCTTGTGCTCCAACCTATTTGCCTTCTTAGTATGAATCTAAGATAAAAAAATATATTATTTTTAAAACATGATTATGAAAGCAAATAATAATAATTTTAAGAAATAATAAATTATTAGTGATTCAAAATTGCTCCAATTTGTTTCACATCTAAATGAACTGCAGGTGAGGTTAAGAACTCGAATAGTAAAATTCATTAACTCAGGCATTTCCCCCATCAAATCTTATCCACCAATCAGCATGAGATTTTAACTTTCTTAAGTTCATAAAAACTCACTCCCAAAATCTTCTCTTAAATTATAATAAAAGTCTAGTTGAATATCAACTCTAAGGCTATTTTCATAATACAACATTCTTTCCAAAGAAGTAATCATCCCTTGTTTCACCTCTTCATCATTAGAAAAATTAACTTCGAAGTAAAATTGAGAGTCCAAATAATAAGCATACATATTTAGTGGTTTATAAAGTTGGACATCCAGTTTTACATCATCTTTCTTCTAAATAGGTTCATGCTTTTTTTCATTATGCCACAAGTAAAAGAAAATTTTCTTTTGTTGAATCCATTAACTCATAAATATAACCCATGGTTGACTTTTCTTCTAAGTCAATCTCTTTTTAAACATTTACAAGCAGTACAACACTTTTGATACAGTAAGCAAGATGACCCCAAAAATATAGATCGAATAAATAACAGCTCGAGCTTTTATACCTACTATCTTCTTAGCACCTTGACTAGAACACCAAGTTTCAAAGGAGAAAACATTGTCTGAAGTGATTGTTTTTGTTTGTAAATGCTTTAAATGGTCAAATATGAAATAGCAAACCATGTGATGGTTGAACGAACGTGTTTCCTCTCCTTTGCAAAAGATCTCATCAAGCCAAGAACCAATGTCTGCCCGTAAATGAATTTAACAAATTGTTTTGCTTTTACAAATGCGGTTTCACAAATTTTCAACTTCCTAATAACTTCTAACATTAGGTCAATACAATGTGTTGCACTAGATGTCCAATAAAAATGTAGATTTTTTTTAATTAACTTTTACTTGCAAAACATAATTTGACCCATTATCTGTTATAACTTATATCACATTTTTTTCCTCCTGCTTCCTCAATCACGTCATTCAAATAAGTGAACAATAAATCGCCACTCCTTATAGTATTGAAGCACCCACAAATTTAAGAAAAACAATCTTAATGGAAAGGTTAACAAGAAAATTAATCAAAGTTCTACTTTTTTCTGTCCAAATATCTGACATAATCAAACTCCCATATTTACTCCATGGCTTCATATGCTCCTCTAACATATTATTGATTCTAGCAACTTCATCTTTGAGCATCCAAATTCTTAATTCATGCATTGTAGGTAAAAATAAAATCAGATCCAAAGTTAACAACTGCTTCAAACATAGTCATATAATATAGGTCATTGAAATCATTAAATGATAATCAGATTAAGTAGCAAAATCTACAAATTGCATTACATGCTTCTTTTCTTCGATCTTTTTTCCATTTGAAATTTAGAGTAGAATTCCTAACTTGTGAGGTGAAAGAATCTATTGGACCTCTAACTCTGTGTCCTATGTGAGGAGTCCAGTAATGATGAATTAGTAGCATTTTGACTTTCACAAATATTTGTTGCACTACTTCTAATGTCACTTAATATACTATCACATTATGCTTTAACTTTTGCATCTTCTTCTAATGTTTTCTTGTATTTCTCTCGAACTTCAGTAGAGGCTTTAGTGCAAGGCTTAATGCTCTTGCGCGTGCTAATAAAATATTGTTTCATTTTATTTATTATTCTACGACATACTTGATTGCAAAACTTACATTTAAAATACATTTTATTGGGTGTGATTATTGTATTATTGTACATTGTCATGCAAATTCCTCGCTACTGCGACTATTACTGGTCACACAATCCCCCATTTCATTACAAGTTAATAACTAGTATTACACATTAAGAAAATAAATCAGATCAAAAGAAATCAAAGTTGCAGATTTACTCTAGCTACAGTGAAATTATTGTAGCTACAGTAAATTCATTGTATCTACAGTGAAATAATCGATTAGTTCCTCCTAAAACATTAAAACTAGTGTGTTATTTTCTTACCAAAAAAAATTCGACTATAGGAGAGACGAAGCATACGCTTTGCGGGAGAGATGAAGCAGCTCTAGGATCTTCTATTGTTGGATCGTCTGCGTGTGAGAGAAGAAGAAGACAACTGTCGGATCTTATGCATACGACAGACGAAGCAGATAAATACGAGATCCTCGCCGTGCAACTCTGCGAGAAACAAAGCAGACGGATTCGGGATCACCTTTTGTTGTGGGAGAGGCCTGAATCGGTATGATTTGAGTATGTCTGGAAAATTAGGGTTTTTTCCTTTTTATCAATAATGGGTCGTACGCCCCCATGAGGGTACAAACTGAGCTCTCGAGACGTACAAGATGTTCCGGTTTGTAAGCCTCATGAGGATTGCTCCTTCGCATTGGCATGGGGTGAACTGGCTCATGCTCTGCCCCTGAGAAGCACCCTGAGCTCGCCCCATAAATGCCTTTCAAAAAAGATGGTATAAGAGAATATGATTAGGAGTGAGATCCGATAGTATCTAAAGATGAGTATGTCATATAGGCTGCAAAATATAAATACTAAAAGGCAGTACTCACAGAAGTAAGATTATGCAGTATCTGAAGTAAAGTGTGTCATGTAGGTTGATAAACAAAATATAAGACAATATGCATAAGAGTAAGATATGTAGTATCTAAGCTAAGAAATGTGTAATATAGATTTATGAAATTCACAATAGAAGACAAGTTTATGCTCAAGAATAAGATGAGAAAATAATCAAGCTGAAGTGCAACATATATGTTTAAGAAATCATAGTAAAAAAATATTTTTAAGAACAAGATTAAGTGATAAATGTGAGAAGTAAACGACAAACCAGTAATCACAAATCACCACAACTAAATACCATAATAATTCTGATTTTAGTAATACCAAATGAATACAATGATAATAAATAACTAAAGACTTCTAAATGAATCGTAGCTAGTAATCGGTTGAATTATTTGTAAAAAAAAATTTACATTATAGCTATACAAAATTTTATACCTTTGAAGATATCCAAAATAACACGATCGACCCCACATTATAATTACCATATATTATGATATTACCATATGAAGTAGTATAACATGTTAAATTGAATGCACAACAATTCAACAACAATTCCTCATCTGCGTTCCAATAAGAGGAACAACAAGGTTTACATATTTTTTTGCATGCATACTTGGCAAGCCATTCAAATGTGAAACACTTTATTCATATGATAGGTAATAATCGACAAAACCTAAAACAAAGTTAGTGAAGGTCAGATAGTGCCCAAATATATTGAGCATGTATATGCAATCCATAGAAATTATATAACTAATACGTTAATGATTTCATTTCACGACCCATAAGATAAAAGATGCTCTCATAGTATACATTCAAACCAGGCGAGCCAACCAAAATCTAACCTAAATAATAATTTATGCTATCAATGAAGAGCACCATTTAGAAAGTGGAAACAAACCCTCCATCCATAATAAATAAAATCATAGCATGAAATCTATCAATGTCCACATTTAGTTTTTACGGGATGAAAACTATGAATGTCCTGCACACAATATAAGTCTTGATGCATAATATCCCAACCCCTTAAGAGCTTCTACATATTACTCCTCACAAAAATCGATTTACAAACACTAATCAAATTCTCAAATCACATAAATCAAGCAACTAGTAAATGGTATAAGCATAACAGAAATGCATGAAAATTTTTAAAAAATTTCAAATCAATTTGAACGTAAGGAAAGCAAAGCTGAAATTCACCTAGAGGAATCAAAGGCAAAAATAGTGATGGGAAAGAAAATGTGTGCATAGAGCTTCAGCCGGCGTTGATCAAGAAAAGCCCTAAAGATTTTTTTTCATGAATGTCATGGATATATTGAGGTTTAGGCAGATAATTTCACGTACTGGATCAGCATCATCTTTTTTTCATTAGAATCATGGAACTCACAGCGAACATGGCACTTCCCATTCATTAGAAAAACGACTTCCACGGATGCAATTTTCCGAAATGCAGTGCAAAAGGCGCTCCCCAAACATTGATGATAGCGCTTTTCAACACATAAATAACATTAAAAACTACCCCAAATGGAGACTTAAAGAAAAAATGTGAAACGAATATATCCATGAAAGAGTTGGTGTAGCACCAATGACGGACAAGATTAAAGAAAGTCGTCTTAGATTATTTGGTCACATTAAAAGAGTATATATTTTAAATTAGACTTAATTTAAAAAAGGTAGAGGTAGAAATAAAAAAGAGTTGGGTATATTGTATAAAAAATGATCTTAAATTATTAGAACTAAATGAAAATAAAATACTCAATAGAACACAATTGAGAAAAATGATTCATATGGCCAACCCCATTTAGTGGGAAAAAAGCTTTTTGTTGTTGTTGTTGTTGTTTTTGTTGTAATAAACCATTTTTCTAAATATATTTTTAATTTCCATCAATTTGTAAACTTGATAAATAACATTAAATTATTTCATGCATTTTAAAATGTTTTACAATAAATAAATATTTCATAAAATTCTAAGCATATCTTTACACTGCCAAAGCCTACCCTTCACCTATAAGAATATTCAATCAATTTACAAAACTTTTGCCGCTTATCTAAATTTTGTAATGCATTTATTATTTATTTTAAATTTCAAATTGTAAGAATAGATTAAAATTCTATAAAATTAGAAGACATCACTGCTTTTAGCTCACAAAAAATAATTTTTAAAATTTTTATAATTTGGTAATATAGATTTTTTACTTTTTATGAATATTTCATACATTTTAAAAATATAAGAAAGCATTTCAAGAAAATTCAAAATCTTGCAATTAATTTTGGGATTTAAGAATTTATTTTGATATTTATTTCAAATTTTGCAAGTAGCCTTTTATGATTATTTATAGAATGTTAAAGAAACATCTTTCTAATTATTATGAGCATATCTTATGGAGAAATTTTTTGACATATGGTCATTTTGCTACAATTACATTCAACTTACTGTAGCAGTTACACCATGCATGCATTTCTTTTTTTTTTAAGAAAAAAACTATATAAATATTTAGTAGCATAAATTATGTTTTTAGCATCTTATAGATAACTAGGAACATTATTATGTCGAATGTTCATGTGCACAATTTTTATGTATTTTCCAGCCATTTAGAAAATTTCAAAACATTCCCTAACTATTTAGAAATAATTAAATTAACTAGGGAATACTTATTTGAACAGAAGTTTTTGCCTTATCAAATACCACACTAATGAAGTGGGGAGCTAGCCTATTCCCTCCAAAGTTAAAATACACTCAGCTGCTCATAGGTTCTAATGCTGGTATTTAGCCGTCCATTTTTATAGGCTATGACTCAATTCTAGTGGCATGGGTTAAACATTATGTTACTAGGTTGAACCCATAAGGTATACTGGTCAGTAAATCAAGTCAGTTTTTACCTATTTGACAATATAAAGCTACCCTACAATATATATTATATTATTCCTCATGATCACATTTACATGATCATTAAGCCACATATGTGGTAGCATCCCATGCATATCACCAACAGTGTGCCAGGGTAAAAAATGTATATCGTTGCTAATTTATATATGGCAATGACAAGACGTAATTCATTACAAAGTGATGCTATAATTAGTATCAAGGCTTGTGATGTATGTGACAATGCAAATCTATAATAATTTAGTTTTATGTTATGATTTGTGAATACTGTGTTGATCTATATTAACCTTTATTTTGGACGGTTTTTGTGCAAAATTAAAAATGAGTTCAAACTTTAAAGTGAGCTCAATCATCCATATATCAAAATCAATGATTATAGAAAACTCTCAAGATTTTTCAAGAAGGCCTCAGGTCAGCTCTTAAGAAAACTATCAAGAGATGATTTGCAGAAGGACTATGTTGTTCTGCAAAGTTATTATCTCAATTAATATGAGATGTGTCCAAGAAGCCGAAACTACAAGTATACAAAAAAAAAGTTCATTCGAGAAAATATTGAAGTACTCAGAAGAATGAACATTTGCAAATAAAATTTTAAGATAACCACGCTTCAACCAACTTATAAAAGGGTGAAATTTTACCAAATGATGTGCTCAATGGCAAAAGGTTTGTTTTAATGCAACTCCGATTGTCCCACAAGCTCCAACCTATCTTTTATCAATAATTATCATTGCCTAGGGAAATGAACTTATTAAGACATTTTCTCTAGAATTGTAGACAAATGAAATTTATCTAGTTAATGATCAACTAATTAATCAAACGAATTGAGGCCAATGCTTGGTGACAGTTACTATTAAAATTGTTCTCAACTTCGTTTGGAGCAAAAACATTTCTTAGCTCAACAAAATTGCCATTTGGCAATTTTATACAAGTTAATTTTGGTTAAATTTTAAGAAGATAGATTGAGAAACACTATCTAGAGATTATCTCTCATTATTTTGTAAGAAAATTATGATCTAGTCTATGATTAACTATCCCCCTCACTACACTCCGAATAAAGTTCTTTGGTAAACTAAGTAAATGAAATTTAGTTCAAGAGAGAAAAAAATATAACTTCATTAACTTTATAGTGGATGATAGAGAAATGATGATAAACCTGCTCAAGCTTTCATAATTTTGTCATTGTGGTTTGTCATGAATCTTAATCTGCTTAGTCAATGGAGGAAACAATTGACTAAACATAGCGCAAAAAAAAAAAAGCTATCTCAATGACAAGGCTTGCATCATTTAAGAATTTTTCACACATACACACACACACAAAATAAAAATAGCTGTTTGTGAGCTTAGGGTAAACTAAAATGTCATCTTTGACAAAACTAGTGTGATGAATGGAGTAATAAGATGGTTTACTATTTTAAGCTTGGTTCAGATGGTTTGATTTAAGAAAATCCAGATTTTGCAATTTTTTTTTTACATGTTAGTGTTTTTTATGGGACTTGGAATTAAAAGTACAAATACTATTAAACAAGTGTAAATGACAAAAGTTATATTTAGGAATCAAACGAAAAAATTTTAATAAATAAAAATAGTTGGTGGTAGAATAATAATGTGCCAGAAAAGATAAAATAAAAAAAGTTATGTTATAAAAATTGGTTTAAATGTAAAAGCATATAGAATTAGGAAAAATATAAAATGGCTCGTCGGGAGTCTAAAAGAACAATTTGTGATGCTAGTGACCTTTATAATAGATTAAACACTAAGGAGAGTGAAAAATATATGTATAAACTAGCCAAACAAAGAGAAAAGAAAAGTAAAGACTTAAGTAAAGTGTATTAAAAATGAAAATCAAAAAGTGTTTTCTTGGAAAAAGATATTCAACATAGGTGGGTGAGTATTTTTTATAATTCAACATAGGTGGGTGAGTTATTTTGATAAACTTTTTAATGAATTTTCTGAAAATACAATCGACCTTAGTGATCTTAATATTGTTAATAATAAAA